CCCTGCAGCAGCAGCAGCAGCAGCAGCAGGAAGCCCCCGCTGCCCCGACAGCAGCAGCTGCGGCGGTGACACAATAAAGTCAATAGCAGGGGAGGGTTCAGTAGCAGGTGAGTGCCCCAGCACATAGGGTACCTCCCCTGGGGGCCCCCCGGGGGGCCCTCCAGGGGGGCCCCCCGGGGGGCCCCCCTGGGGCCTCTCGAGGGGCCCCCCAAGAAGATCCAGAAAGGGGCCCCCCTTGAGGCCCGAGGCCTTGTCTTCCTTTTGCTGCCCCATGAGGCGTGGGCGCTAGAGAGTCCCGTTCTAGGGTTTGGGGTTTAGGGTTTAGGGTTTGGGGTTGGGCGGAAGGCAGCACTTGCGCTGCGGGTATTTGCGTCCCCCAGCTCTTTTTGTGCATGCAAATGAAATAAAAGTAAAACTAAAAAGATTTAATTGAAAATATAAATCAAATTTTGCGTTTGAAACGCCAAAGAAGGCAAGAGGGGGCCCCGCAGCTGCTGCTGGGCAGCCGCAGCGGCCTGGGGGGCCCCCTGTGCTGCTGCAGCACTGTTTTCTTTTTCTTTTTTCTCGAATTAATAAATTAATTTAAATCATATTTCAATTTTAAACTCTTTTTATTCTTTTTGCTCCGAAGACACTCCACTAGCGGCGCTGCTGCGCTCCCCCCCCAGCTGTACGTACACTGCAAACTAAACCCGGGGGCCCCCCTGTACCCTGGGGGCCCCCATTGACCCACTTGGGCCATTTGGGGCCCCCCGGATCTCAAGACTTTGCCCTTTTCTTATGGGGCCCCCCCGAAAAGGCGAGCGGCAACACCCGCTGCTGCTGCTGCTGCTGCTACTGCTGCTTCTGCTGCTCGTTTGTTCCCCCCGCCCCTTTGCTGCTCTCGCCCTCAGCCGAAACTGCTGCTGCTCCTCGCCCCAGACTTGGGGGCCCCCAGGGGGCCCCTCGAAGGCCCTGAGGGGCCCCGGGGGGCCCCCCAGGGGGCCCCCCGGGGGCCTCTCAAGGGTTGGGCTGCTGCTGCCTTGCTTCCAGTCAATGCCGCTGAGGCGCAGCCTTTCTGGACCCAGCAGCAGCAGCAGCAACAGCAGCAACAGCAGCAGCAGCAGCGGCGGCGAGGCCTCTG